AGCCCAGGACAGCTAAACAACACTGAAAACTGCAACACACACACACACACACACACACACACAAAATAGCTGAGCCCCTGCAGTTGCAGCTACTTGGAAGGCTGAGGCAAGGGAATAACTTAAGCCCAAGAGTTTGAGGTTGCTGTGAGCTATGACCCCACAGCACTCAACCGGGAGAGACATAATGAGACTCTGTCCCAAGAAAGAAAAAAAAAGAGAGCTCTGATTTGCAGTGCATGCCGATTCCTTAGCAGAACCAAATTCCAAGCTGCTAAGGTGATGTCAGTCAGCACCAAGTCCCTGAATATTTAACACCAGGACCTCTGAGCTGGCTTTGTCAGTCCACCTGCTGCAAGCACAGCCATCTCTGAGTCTCCAAGTCTGCAGCAGCCTGCAGGGCAATCTAGCAAGTCTCCAGTTTAGCAACTCCTCTTTGGCATTCCTGAGATGAAATCTGTCACATTTCAGAGCCAAGGTAGCTCTTAGTTAAAGAATCCAGATTTAATAACTTAAAAGTTCTTCCTTAATAATTTTGTATACCCATAAAGCACCTGAATTACAAAATCCTCATCTCATTTCTTCCCTTCACAGTCCACTGTAAATTATTTATTTCCCATTTTACATAAAAAAAAATGGAAGCTTCAATAAAGTTAGTTCATTAGCACCCAGTTACAGCTCAGTCAGGGAAGAAGTGGGACTTCAACTGAGCCTAAGGTTGTCTGAATCTATAGTCTCACCACTGAAACTCTTTTTCAGCAGCTTCAGTGTTCCTCCTTAGAAGTTTCAGCTCAGATAGTTAACTTATCAATCAAAAACTGGCAAGAAACTTTTTAATTTCTTGGAAGCACCTAGGCAGGAGAGAGATCAGGTCATGCCTGTAGGTCCTGGACCCAGAGACTCTTCCTCTGAGTTCTACCTGGGGCTGCTTCCAGCCAGCAGGAGCCCTGCAGAGGCCCTGACCTCTGGGCAGATGCTATCAACCTGCCTTTTTTTTTTTAAACAAGGGAACAAATCTCAAGGGGATTTCAAATCCTTGAGACGGATTTTTCTTTTGTAGGAGGCAGGTTCTAGGGATAAGCTCTTAAGGGGAAGTAGTCAGTGTGACCCCTAGGGCTTAAGGCTACTGACCAGGTCGAGTTCTTTCTTAAACTCTTCTTTCTGATGATTCTTTTTGGTGTCCAGGCATTTGTTCTTCAGGCCCCGGTACTTTTCCTTGCCATCCTCCTTGTCTGTTTTCTCAACGTCTTTAGTTCCACTGAGCTCCACAGAGTAAATTTCTAGTGTTTTCTGAAAGAGAAGCAGAGGTGCAATATTGGCCTCCGATTGGTTTCCTAAAGAGGTGTACAGTGCCTTCCTGGGTCTTGCCTCACCTTTCATCCCCACCCCCAACAGAGGACAGAGGGAGCAGGGCTGTGGAGAGCCTCTCTCCGCCCATCCGCAGTTCTCAGCTTCCTCTCCTGTGTGGAGGGGAGGTTGGGTAGCATAGGTCTGGCAACATCTCCTCTCTGGAGTGGGGCAGATGGGACGTTACCGGCCCCTCCTCTAGACAGAAGCTTGAAGGGAGCTCTAGGGTTTCCTTAGTAACTTGTTCCCACTGGACACACTAGCTGTGCCCCCACCCCCCAACTCTTGCAGAGGGGTAACCACTCAGCTTAGGCTCCTCAGTCCTGAGCAGGAGGGGCTTACTAGGGATCTGTGCATCCCAGCTGAGCACCGTTCTCCCAACCGGAGTCCGCGGGTGCAGTGGAGCCGGCCCAGAGGCCCCGGGGCCCCTCCTCACACATCTCTGGACTGGCTTCCTTACCCCTCCAGCCCTGGAGTGCCACGTGGGAGCTCAGAGCCTGAGCGGAGAGATGCCTCGCCGTTGTGGCCTCTCTTGTCCCCGGGCCTGGACATTTGCTCTTCTTTCCCTCTCCCCACCCATGCGATCCTGTCCCCGGGCCCTTGGTCTCGCGCGTGGTCTTCCCGGCGCTTGAGCATGCACGGGACCTGCACGCACCTTGCGCATGCTGCGGATGCTGGCGCCGCGGCGGCGACTGCGGAGTTCGGGGGAGAGGTCCCGTGTGGTGGCGGCGGAGTCAACGGTGTTAGCGCTGGAGGTATTGGCCGCGGCGCGGACCCTGCACGCACCTCCGCAGCCGATCTCTAGCCGCTGTCCTGGGAAGGAGGCTCCAGATTATAAAGCCTCCCGCCCCGCCCACGCACCTGCCGCGGCACGAGCTGGGGACGCCCTGGGGGCGGGAATCCTATGAGCGCTCGCCCTGGCGAGGGGCTACGGAACTGGAGCACGCAGGTTGGGGGCCTCGTTGAGGTCGGGAGCAGGACGTGGCAGCGCGGGGTCTCCTGTGGGCTAGCCCAGCGTCCTTTGAGTTCAAGGGGATGGTGCCACTAGCTACGACCTGCCCCGGAGCCGGTAGACCCGCGTCCGGCAGCCTGAGCCGGCAGCTCCCGCACGCTCCTGAGCTCCTACGCCCTGTCCCGACTTTTTTGAAACGCCACATACCGTGCTCTTTTTAAAATTTAATTTGCTTACCAGTAAAGGAACTTACAAAAATATGTAAGCAGAACGGGGGGCAGGGGTTGCCGTGGCCCAGAGCAACTGCAGACTGTCCTGGTCAGGAAAGGCCAGTTTGCTGTGGAGAACGGGTTTAGGTGAACGCGAGCCTCAGAGCGAATTTGGAGGTAGCTGAGACCCCGGAGAGAGCTGAATTACCTTACAGGATCCAGATAAGAATTTAGACTTCTCAAACAGATTTGGAGGGAGGACTTGGGAGGACGGCTGGGGAAGACCCGACGCTGGGCTGGGCTAAAGGGCTCTCTGTCCCCACAGTGTCCACCCCTCCTCCTTCCTTCCTTTCCAAAAGGGCAGAACTTGAAGCCTGGGGTCTTTGCTCTGTGGAGCAGGGACAAGGCCAATGAGTCACTGTTTAACTAAATGGTGAAGGACAGGAAGACTCCTGGTGACATCCAGTGTAAATACTATTTAGAGTTGGAAGGAACTTTAAATTCTAGTCCAAGCTCAGGCAGCAGTGAACTTATGGGGAGCTCTGTATCCATGCCCCCATGGTCTTCAAAGGAAAGGTGTGCAGGCGGGAGGAAGGAAATACATTTGTCTGCAACTGATGTTGCACTGTATGTGGGGAATCCAAGGTAAGGGCCTGAGGGCGCAGGTGGCAGCTGCAGACTTTTAGCTTCCACCCCCCTCACTTCAGCTACTTGGACAGTTACAGAAGAGAGAAGCAGGGTCACCAGAGGTATGTCTCTGAGCGAACCCCGGTTCCTAGTGACTTGACTGAGGGTGTAGAGGAAGAGTAGGCTAATGGGCTATCACCCCCACTGTTTTGGAAATACTACACATCTGGGAGAGGGTGTCATCATATATGTAACTGTGTCCAGCTTGTTTTAATCCATCAATACACTTCATGGATTTGAAGCTGGACTAGGCATTGGGGTGGTGGTGATATAGGATTCCCCACTCAGGACTGGACAGGGACCCCACACCACCCCCATTTTTTAGGCCCAGGTAAGCACGGAAATCAGACTCCCATCTCTAGGCACAAACAGGCTGCCCTTTCCAGGCCACACTCTTTGGCAGGCATCCTTAAACTACGGCCGGCGGGCCACATGCAGCCCACCTAGGACATCTGGCCCGCAGGGTGTTTTTGCCACCACTGCCTGCCTTTCTTAGCAGCCAACTCGTCCCAGGGCCTGCAGTTCGGCCCTCCAACGGTCTGAAGGACAGTGAACTGGCCCCCTGTTTAAAAAGGTTGGGGGCCCCTGCTCTTTGGGCTCTAGTAAGGTCCTGAGCAAAACAACCTGAACGGTTTTTGGTGATTCCACCTTGAGTAGAGAGCACACACCCTAATCCTTTCCTTGAGACAAAAACTGCAAAGATCTAATAACCTTGCCCTAGTAGAGGAACTGCATTCATTCATTAATACACTCATTAGCTTTGAAAAGGTGTTTTTCCACCTACCAAGTCCTGGGCAAAATGTAATTCTCCAGACAACATATACCCCTAGAGAAAGGACCCAGGGAAGAGACTTTAAACTTGGGCTGTCCCCTTTGCCAGAAGCTCTGGTGTTTTTTTTTTTTACTGTTTCTATATTCCTTTCTGTCTAATACAATCTTATCTTACCACTGATCTTTGGTCCATGGGTTCCTTCTTCGAATCCCCAAGAGCAAGGACCTACTGAAGAAAGAATTTCTGGTAACAGAGGGAAGAAAGGTCACTGAAATTATGCCGTGCTTTTCCCTCTAGGAAGTTGCACTTGAGTAGGAGAGGCACAATTAGCAAAGGAACAATAGTAAATAATCCTAAATAATCCAGGAGAAAATTTAATCTAGTGCTAGTTGGCATGGCCTTTAAGTGCCTTTAGAATTTGGAGTTAGCACAAGTTTTATTACTTAGGATTAGTTACTGATTTTTTTTCTAGCCCTTTGCACACTCTAGTAAATGTGGGGAGAGAGGCAGAAAGAGTGGCTGAGTTGGGACCTTATGTTTTTTGGATTTCCCTTGGTTCCCTGAGCACTCCCTCCTGTGCCCAGGATGTCCCCAATGCTGGCCCAAAAGGTGTGATTGTGAGAATCCAAAAGTACAGAGTAGAGGATTCAGGTGACAATGGGAAGAGGAAGCTTCACTTCCTGCTTATCTTCTGGCCCAGCTGGTGCCTCTGCTGCCCACTAGGCCTCTCCCTGTCCCTGGATTCCTCTCCTACACATGCTGGGCAGTCCCCAGCCTGAGGCCTCCCCACACACCTGCATCCACTACATGTGCCAGGAGATGACTCGGCCAGCACTCTTCTCCCTGTGAGGGCTCCCTGGAGTGGGAGTCAGAATGAAAAAACAAAACCAAAACTTCAGCCAAGAACTCTTCCACACTGTTTCCCCATTTCTTCATTTATAGGCAATCCTGAGATTGGTATATGGACGTCCTATAGAAAAGAAACCTACTGTGCAGACTGCCATGCCCAGGTAATAATCTGGCCTGGGGCTGACCATCCTGGGGATCAGGGGTAGCCTCAGGAGCAGGCGAAGGCTTATGGAGCTCAGCCGGGTGTATGTACTGCTCTGGAGGTATAGTTCTCCCAGATGCAGCTGCGGCTACCACAGGGTTTATTCTCTGCAATTTATTTTGGGTAATAAGATGCTTTTTTATTGTATGTATTTAATGTGTACAACATGGTGTTCTGATATACAGTACACAAGATGTAAATTGCACACAAACTTTATGGACACCCTGTAGTTAACATACAGTGAAGTAGTTACTGTAGTCAAGCAAATTAACATATCCTTCCTTTCTCATGGTATTTCTGTGCGTGTGTGCATGTGTGCGCATGCTGTGTGTATACACATCTGTGTTTGTATGTGTGTACGTGTACACACGTGTGCACGTGTATGGTAAGAGCACCAAGAACCTCCTATCTCGGCACCTTTCCTGTGGATAGCACATAGTTACACTATAGTCCCTGTGTGCACCTTGATCTTCAGATTTTTTCATCTTGTGTATCTCCACTACTCCTTCCCCCATAGTCAGATGCTTTTCCAAAACATGACCTTTTTTTTTTTTTTTTGGCAGTTTTTGGCTGGGGCTGGGTTTGAACCTGCCACCTCTGGCATATGGGGCTGGCACCTTACTCCTTTGAGCCACAGGCACCACCTGAACATTTTATTTTTAATAGGTGATTGAAAAGACTAAAGTTTTTTGACTTTGGACGAAAATAGGTTCTCCTCACATGAATCCTCTCCACCTTTGTCATGGAAATGACAACATATATAACATGTGTTTTATGAACACATATGTGTGTAAAATATAAAATGAAGGAAATGCTTAATTTGCAGGAAATTACCTCCTCGGATGAATGGTCACTTGGTCTCTGGCAGCCACAGTCTCCAGAGTTGGGGACCAGCTTCACTATTGACTGGAGGTTTGTGACATGTGTGCACCACTGTCCTGGGCCACCTTCTGAAATTGAGTCCTGCCCACCTGGGGAGACCAGACACACCCCTTAGGTTAGAATACTAATAAGACACATCCAGAGCCAGGTCGGTGGGTCAGACCTGAGGGGTCCAGAAGCCCTGAGGGAGGGCTGAGCTCCCCACCAGTGAAGGACAAGAGCTTCTGGAAGGAGTTCCAGTGTGAGTGGGTTCTGAAGGCTGGGAAAGCTGAGGAAGAGGGCAGTGTGTGTTGAGAGAGGGGCTGGGAGGGATGGGGCCTGGCCCTTGCAGAGAGGTCAAGGAGAGAGTGGGAATGGATACAGTGGCCCAGCATACAGTTCCATG